GACTTAGCAGTTAGATAACCAACTCATAGTCAACAACACGGTAGTCTTCCTCCTCGAATCCGTACTCGTCGAGATCAGAGATAACGCTAGATCCCTCTTGCCAGCTCCCGTAGGCACCGGATGGGGTATGGCTAGGCTCATCTCTGATGTCGAGATCTGGCAGCATATTGGCTTGTGGCTTCGTAGATTGTGGTGGGTGTCTCCCCTCTCCTCCTAGGGGGCTTGTATTTATATCCATAGATGATCTCTTGTCCAAGTAGAATTAGGGAGATAAATATGGATACGATCCGAGTAGTTCTTGTCGTTTCCATATAGAACTCTATTTGTCCTTCCTTATCCGGAACTCCTTCTATATACGAGGTTTTTTCCATATAAGACATGGCATGTGGTGGGCTTTGCCGAGCTTAGTCAATTACTATTAGGTGTGTAGTATCCATAACCCTGACACTAGGGTTGCTGGCCTCGGCGGGAGCCGCTGCCATCCCGGGGCTCGCGGCCCCAGGGCCACCGGCGCCAACGTGAACCGCCGCCGTTTCTCCGCCGCAGCCCCTAGGAACGCCGGTGCCGACGGGAGCCACCGCCGTCCCAGGGCATTGCAGCTCCTAGGGCCGCCGGCGTCGACGTGAGCCGCTGCCGTCCTCCGCCATAGCCCCTAGGGCCGTCAGCACCGACGGGAGCTGCCGATGCCCCTAGGGCTGCGGCCGCCGACGGGTGCTGCAGTCGTTCCGGGCCACCACCTCAACTTGGTCGCCGCCGCCCCCACCACCCCCGAAGGTCCTCCGTCGCCGACGCAACGCCACTACCCGCCGTTGGCCGTAGGGGCAGCGGTTGTAATGACTTAAAAGTCAGCTTTGGCACATGCAGCTTAGGCATATGGAGCTTGATCGGTTGTGAACAGATGGACCTCACCTGCTCACCATAGGCTTCTCCCTTCCTCACCTCAATATAGCCGCGTTGGTGAGGAGCTAGGAGCGGACAAGATAGAGATTGAGAGATTAGGGAGGTCTAAACTGAAACAAAAGTTACATTCCCTAGCCCAAAGTGAAAATATTGGTTGCATCCTAGTCCAAACTGAAATTTTGGTAATAATACCTAGCCCAAGATGTAATTCACTCCTATTTTTAGGATTAATTGGATCTATGCCATTATAAATTTTATGTTTTTGAAATATGCCATTACTATTTACCTAATTATAACCATGCCATTACAATTTCACAAATATTGGAGACATGCACTAAATATCATTTCACCGTATTTTATAAAAATTTTGGACCAAAATAGCCATATCTTCTTTCTTCTTTCTCTGTCTTCTATTCCAGCCAACTTACCCTGACAAGCTCATGAAGAGCTGCAGCAGGCTGAGGGCTGCCGCCGTTGCCAGCAGAGCTGGCAGGGAGCACGCCGCCGGGGGTCTCGCCGTTTGGCCGCCGCCGCCGCCGCATTGGATTCCTCCATACATGCGAAGAGGGTGGCACGGGTACGACGGTGCTCGCCGGCGGCGAGAATATCCTCTCTCTCTCTCTCTCTCTCCTCGGCTTCCAACTCGGGTCAAGCGCGTGTATCCCCTCCTCCTCTGTTCTTGACGATGCCTCTGAACTGTGCTGCTCGACTACGTCTTCCTGCTCGTGGGTCTTTTCTTCCTCCATAACAGCACCATCTTTGCTTCCTTGCCGGTTAGAGCAGCAGGTTGAGCTTGGCAGTGGAAAAGGAGATCGATGAACAGGAGAGAAGATATATATGGAGTGAGATGGGAGATGGAAGAAGAAGAAGAAGAAGGGGTAGTTTGGTCCTAAAAAAATTAGAAAATGCAGTGAAAATGTATGTAGTGGCATAGCTCCAATATTTGAGAAATTGTAATGGTATGGTTACAATTAGGTAAATAGTAATGGCATATTTCAAAACCATAAAATTTATAATGGCATGGATCCAATTAACCCTATTTATATAATGTCAAACGCTTACATGATAGTTCATAGCTGGGTTATATTCACAAATCTTGAACATTTGGGATGTACATTAGGGTCCATTGAGTACAAATCTCGCTGCCCGTGGACCTCCGCCACCGCCGTTGCCACCCTAGACCTTTGCTGCCGTCGCCCGTGGGAGGACCGGATTTGGCCTCACCCCCGCGGGCCTTTGCCGCCGTCGCCACATCCGTCCTCGGCGGCGCGCATCCGTCGCCTCCTCTGGCCGCCGTCGCTCAGCCCCTGGTCGCGGGGAGGCCAGATCCACCACCGGGGGAGGCAGATCCACCTCCGGCGTCGCCGGATCCGCCGCACCAACCCCCCGGCCGCCGCCTCCGGCGCCGTGAACCGCCGCTACCGAGCAGCCCCGGTGTCCCAGCGCGCTGGCTTCCTCGTTGGGGAGAGAGAGGGCCCCGCCGCCGCAGTCCTTGCGGCCGGCTGGCTTTGCCGACGAGCCGCTTAGGCGGCGGCAAGGCAAAGGGGAGGAGGAGGGAGGGTAAGCCGGCCGGCCGCAAGGACTGAGGCGGAGGAGAATGAGGCGCCGTCCGTGTCGCCCCTGGGATGGGAGCGATGCGGACGGGAAATAGTTTTTAGGGGAACTTTCAGTATGGTGTTCTCGTAAAATGTTCGTAGTATAGTTAGTTAGTCCCATGTCATGTGGTTGGTCATGTTCCTTTAAAGATTGACTACATGTAAAGAGTACAAGGCCTTGGTTACATATATGAACTTTGGGGAATAAGACTACAATGGATCAAAGATCTTTGGATAATATAAAACCAATTATTTAAATTTTGATATCTCTACTAATTTCGTAATGACCCAGGAGCATTTTATCATGGTTTATATTAGTGTCCAATTGATCATTCACAATTTTATTGCATTTTACGATAAATTTAACTAAATGTGATGGCACTGATTAATATTAAGTTTAGAGGTTCCTGTGGAAGATATCATAGTTCAGCTGGCCTCCAACCCGTGACTCCCTAACCTGTTTGCAGTCCACAGAAGTGGTGTTGTTGATGCTCATATATGCTATGGAAATTGCTGCAACAATCGATTAACCATTTTACACGGGATAGAAATGTAAGTGGGGTAATATGCACATGCATGTCCAATCCTACCGATTTCGGAACCAGGGTCTTACACGGTCTTGGTCTAGTTTCCTAAACGTAATATTGTTTGTAATGTTGTTCATTCTAAAATTGAATCATGACGTGGTAATAATATACGGTACCTCATTAAAGGTTTTTGTCCAAACATGACATGAAAAAAATATTTAAGTATGTTTTCATCAAGTACTACTATAGCAAAATTTCGTTAAGTGCAACTCATCATTCGATAATTCTATTAAAGAAAATCTCAGACAAATTGTTTTGATACCTACTTTCTCACATAGTACTTCAGAAAAAATAGCATTTAAAAAACACCCACCTTGTAAACCTCTTAAAACAGTTAAGACAATATGGTCTCTAACCATTAATGTATAGAAATAATTTTTTCTTACTCTTTTTCCCTTTTTTCACCCCATGAAACAAAATTTCGTCTAATAAATGCTAAGAGTCGATTAAGAGCCGTTGTCATGGGTAGCAATCATGTTTTTCTTTTTTCCTCTCTTTCTTCCATGTTACCAAATTTACTTGCATGGTAATAGAGAGAGTCCACTAATAAAGACCGTTGTACATACCCTAAGATGGATTAATCAAATGTTTTAATATATAGCCTCTTTAATACAAAGGTTTACTATGTGATCAAATTATCGCAAAGCTTTGTATCCACCTTTTCTACTTGTTTTCTTGCAATGTGTTCATAATAAATTCTAAAAATATGAATACATGAAAGTAGTTTTCATGATAGATCTAATAATGTTGTTGTGACTTATCACGATTTCATATTGGAGTGTTTTCTTAGAATAGAACTCATAATTAGGTACATTTTATTTATCATGACAATCATCGATATAATTTAGTTATCAATGTATGTGAAGTTATGTATAATGACATAATCAATATATGATGTTAGAAATGGCATGTAAAAGGTTAGGATTTGACCTAAATTGTTATATTCATAATATAGATAGATTAAACTTGTAGTTTTCATTTCTAATATAAAAGTAAATTTATTATACCATAATGAAATTTCATGATAGTGGGAATATTTTTTAATATTATTGGTGGCAGGCTATGAGGCCCTTCGTCTGGCCTATTGAGTCGGGTTACAAGAGCGGAGCGTGGCGAAAAGCAACGAAATCAAATGGTGCTTGGTGAGATAAGGCAAAGCCAAACGAGGCATGGCAAGACATGATGAGAGACGGCGTAGCCAAGCGGGATATGGCAAAGCACGTCGAAACGAGGTAGAGACATTAAGTAAAATGGAATTGAACTAAAAAAGTGACCCTACAAACGGAACAATACAACAGTAATGGAGTGAGATGGATAGGGGGTCGCGGCAACGATGATTTCCCGTGACAACTTCATCAACAAGCCTATGCTATAAGTGTGCACACCGCTTAACGCACTGATGACCCCTTCGACAGTCTTCGTGGAACTGATACAATTCGAGGTTCATTGTTTATAGATTTGTTGTGAGCATCACCGGACTCGAAAAAAATTTAGGCATGCAAATCTGAGTCCGGCTTTGCGCTCGTGGAGCAACCTTGGACATAATCCAACCGTACAAATGCATGACAGCTTGTTTGCTACATCAACTGTCAAAATGCTTTCATTTTTCACATTTTGATGTGCGAATTTTCCCGATCAACACAAGAATTTCCAGCTTTTATATTTTTTTCTCCTAAAATTAAAGCAGGGCCTCCAATTAGCGTAAAGAAAAGTTGCTGTAAAGTCAATGCTCGCAGGTCTTCTCGTCCTCGTCGTTCTTTAAGACGTTGATCAGGTCTATTAGCGCAACCAACCCAACTGCTAACCAACTTCACAGTACAATGGTACCTGGTACACTGCTAACACTGGAAACGAGCGTTTACATCCACCCACCATATAAAGGAAACCTTTGCTCGTATTGTGCTGCACACTGGAAACCATGGCGATTCCAATTCTTCGTCGTATCATCCCACTGCTGATGCTCCTCCTCACACTCTGGCCGGTGCCTTCTTCCTCACTTCCTGACGAGTACAGTGACAGAGAAGCACTACTGCAATTCAGGGCGGCGCTGTCAGTGTCAGACCAGTTGGGCTCACTGAGCTCATGGAATGGCAGTACCGGCTCCGACTTCTGCCGGTGGGGTGGCGTGACATGCAGCCGCCGGCATCCGGGCAGGGTAACCTCTTTAAATCTGAGTTCATTAGGTCTCGCAGGAAGCATCTCTCCTGTCATTGGCAACCTCACTTTTCTTCAGAGCCTCGATCTCTTCAACAACACACTCTCTGGAGATGTGTACTTCACCAGTCAGCTACATCGCCTGCACTATCTTGAGTTAGCATACAACGACTTCAGTGGTGACCTTCCTGTTGGGCTCTGCAACTGTTCCAACCTTGTGTTCCTCAGTGTGGAGGCCAATGAGCTCCATGGGGCGATTCCGAGCTGTCTGGGATCGTTGTTGCAGCTGAAAGTTCTTTACCTTGGTGAGAATAATCTCACAGGAACTGTCCCTCCATCGCTCGGCAACCTTACCATGCTTCTACAAATAGCACTCTATCAGAATCAGCTGGAAGGAACCATACCAGAGGGCCTTTCCGGCTTGAGATATCTGCAATATATCCAAGCCTCGAGGAACAGCCTCTCTGGCACACTACCACCTCTGTTCTTCAACATATCGTCTCTTCAATACCTTGGTTTCAGTTCAAACAAGCTGCACGGCAGATTGCCACCCGATGCAGGAACACGCCTACCAAACCTTCAAGTGCTCCGTTTGGGCGGCATTGGCAACAACTTCTCTGGAACAATCCCTGCCTCCCTCTCTAATGCCACTGAAATCCAAGTACTGGGTCTTGCTAGGAATAGCTTTGAAGGGAGGATACCTCCTGAGATAGGAAAACTGTGCCCAGTAAGTGTTCAAATGGGGAGTAACAAGCTGCAAGCTAATGATGCTGGGGATTGGGAGTTCCTGAGATATTTCACAAACTGCACCCGACTTCAGGTGATAGATCTTAGTGACAACACCCTTGGGGGAATACTTCCAAGTTTTATTGCTAATTTATCAAGGTCAATCCAGTGGCTAAGCATGGCAAAAAACCAAATCTCTGGGATAATTCCTCCAGGTATTGGGAGCCTTAAAGGAATTGAGGACTTAGAATTCCAAGGTAATAATCTGTTTGGTGATATTCCTGGTGATATTGGCAGACTTCGGAATCTGAAGGTATTGTGGCTGAACATGAATAACATGTCAGGAGGCATTCCATTTTCCATTGGCAATCTCACACAACTTCTGACTCTTGACTTGTCAAACAATCAGCTAAATGGCTCCATTCCTAAAAGCCTTGGAAGCATGGAGAGGTTAACAAACCTGGATTTATCCTCTAACAGGCTAGTTGAGTCTATCCCTGATGTAATCTTCAGCCTCCCTTCACTGACTGATTCACTGTTGCTTTCTGATAATTATCTCTCTGGTGCTCTTCCTCCAAAAGTTGGCAACCTGAGGCGCGCGACAACGCTGTCTCTGTCAAGAAACAACTTATCAGGTAAAATACCAACAACACTTGGCGACTGTGCAAGTTTAGTATACTTAGCTCTAGACAGCAACCACTTCACAGGGAGCATCCCTCCATCACTTGGTAATTTGAGAGGCTTGAGCATCTTGAATTTGACGAGAAACGCACTGTCCGGTAGCATCCCACAACAGCTGAGCAACATTCATGGTTTGCAGCAGCTATACCTGGCTCATAACAACCTATCAGGAACCATTCCACAATTTCTTGAGAAATCAAGTGCCCTGATAGAGCTAGACCTCTCCTATAATCATCTCAGTGGTGAGGTGCCATCACATGGTTTGTTTGCCAACATGAGTGGGTTCTCAGTACTAGGAAATTATGCGCTTTGTGGGGGCATTGCAGAACTGAATTTGCCTCCATGCGAGGTCAAGCCACATAAGTTGCAAAAACAGATGCTGCTTAGGATTCTGCTTCTTGTCTCTGGAATTGTTATATGCTCATCTCTTCTGTGCGTCGCACTCTTTCTGTTCAAAGGGAGAAAACAAACGGACAGGAAGAATGCTACAAGTGACCTTATGTTGAATGAAAAGTATCCTAGAGTTTCATACCACGAACTATTTGAAGCTACAGATGGTTTTGCACCTGCAAATCTAATAGGAGCTGGAAAATATGGATCAGTGTACAGAGGAAATCTGTCTCTTCCATCTGCTGTGAATGTTGTTGTGGCTGTCAAAGTGTTCACTCTTCAGCATGCTAGTTCTTCCCGAAGTTTCATGGCAGAATGTGAGGCTCTGAGGAATGTGAAACATCGGAACTTGATCAAGATTATCACCTGCTGCTCTAGTATGGATTCCAGAGGCAATGACTTCCGAGCTCTAGTGTTCGAGTTCATGCCCAAGTACAGCCTGGACAGGTGGCTGCACCCAAGAATCCATGAGCAGACACACAAGTTGAGCATTGCCCAACTGTTAAACATCGCTGTTGATGTTGCCGATGCAATAGACCATCTTCACAACAACAGTTGCCCGACAGTGATTCATTGTGATTTGAAGCCTAGCAACATCCTCCTTAGTGCTGACTGGACTGCTTATGTTGCTGACTTTGGACTTGCAAAGCTGGTTGGCGAATCCATAGAAAAATCTGGTTTGAGTGCTGGGGACAGCAGCACTGTTGGGATAAGAGGAACCATAGGATATGTTGCTCCAGGTAGCACCACTATTTCAGTAATCACATTTCTTGATCAACTAATTTGTCTTGTATTCTGGACCATTATTTTATCATCTCTCTGAAAATAATAACGACTTGTCCTCATGTTTCTATTCTTGCAGAATATGGAGCAGGTGGGCAAGCATCTGTTGTTGGTGATGCCTACAGCTTTGGGATTACTCTGCTTGAGATGTTCACAGGGAAGGCCCCAACTGATAATATGTTCAGAGAAGGCTTGACCCTGCACTTACATGCTGAGATGACCTTGCCTGAAAAAATATCAGAAATCATTGACCCAGCACTGTTGCACGTGGAACAGTATGACACCGATGCAGAGATACTAACTTGCTTATCTTCTGTAATAGAAGTCGGTGTCTCATGTTCAAAGGAAAACCCATCAGAAAGAATGGACATGAAACATGCTGCTGCTAAGCTGAACAGGATCAGAGAGGTAATGGAATCCTCTTTGTAGAATTCCTTCGCTTCCTATCATAATTCCAGTGTTGAGAAATTATGCAGCTTTATCCTTGAGAATATGTGAAACTTGGAAAAATGTTAACATATTGAATAGAGTTATGATATTAGAGGATATCTTCAGTCAGTTGTTTTGCTCGCCCGGTGACCAGATGTCTCTGGTATTATGTAATAAAGAAAACTCTGTATCAAAGCACTAAAATCTTTCCATCCTTCAGGGAAAATACAGAGAGTGTGACCAGCTATGTAATAACAATAATAGGAGTATAATTTACAATACAAATATAAATTGGTTTCCCATTGCTTCCGACAAATGATAAATGTCTTAGGAAATGCGTTATGACACAATCGTAAGGTAATGCACTTATCAAGGAAGTTTATCTGGATACACCTGTTGCAGAAAAGTTTATGGATCTTAAAAGTAAAGTGGGTTATATTAGGTAAAGGAAAATCTGTCTTAGCATAAACAAAAAGCTTGACTGAATATCATATAGGGACTAGATTTTAAAATGGGTGGAGGGTAAATTATTGATTTAATTTAGGTTATATAGCCAACTTATAATAGAACTTGTATGTGTTGTTACTTAACCGTGCCACATGACTTCGATGTTTTTGTGAAGGATATATAACTAGACCAACCCAATGCTTAGAAGCATTGCATTTACCATGTAAGTGTTAATACGGTCTGGAGTAACAAGTTGCAAGGCTATGTGAAACATGCATATAGTGTCAATTTTGGACATGAAATCAAACATGGCTCCTAAAGACAACCAAAATTTGGAACATTTCTGCTCAATAAATCCTTACTATCCCTAGGCCGCTACAGGTTCCATGTAGTCATCCACGCAAACAGCCAAACAAGGAACATATTGCACCGACCAATATGCATGGGGAAAATAATGGAAAGAGCATTAGGATATGTTCATCTGATAATTCAAGGGGGGTTTCACCCAAATGATATATACTCCCATAAAAGCATCTGCATCTCCATGTTCCTAATCTGAGTTGAAAAAAAGAATCATGTTGATGCATATTGAATAACCGAACAAAACAACTTCTTCTCTTGCAAACCAACTATGAATTTATATTTTAGAGTGCTGATCCCATACCTTGCTATTCCTAAGCCTTCTGGCTCCTCGTTGCCTCCTCCTCAGCACAGACAAACCACACAGGCTTCCATCCGCATCTGGATGCAGTGAACGGCGATGCGCGGGCAGAGTAAAATACATCCCGGCAGGGCAAGCAGCTGCATTTGTTCTTCGAGGAGGAAAATCCACAAACAGGTTGAGTGCACAAGGATGACTAGCTAGCTGCAGCTGGCGAGAAAGAAGAGAAAAACCAGAAGATGGAAGCAACGGGGACACTGGCCGGACGCCGAGGATTCCACGGCCGGCTGAACACCGCCGCCGTGGATTAACAGGGGGACGCAGCGAGGTGGTGGTTTGCGGCGACGTCGCGGCGAGGTCTTGCTAGCCCGAGTGGCTGGGAGAAAATCGCGAGAGGGAATGGGCTGCGTTGTGTCCCAAAATAACATATACGACATACGCACGGGAGTATTTGTATTTATGGCGATATATTTTTCATAAAAAATTAATAGGTATTTATATTGTAATTTTTAAAAATTAAATTTATAAATTTAGTGTATTTACACTGTAAATTCAATCTATTTACATTACATTGTAAGTCCCAAAAAAATTACGTTCTAAATTAAAATATTACATTGAAAAAAAAAAGCAAAAGCATGCAAGTGCTA